GCGTAGAACAGCCCCAATTAATAAACGATTTGGTAACATTTTTTTGATGGTATGTGTACCCTACAAACCATAGAAGCTTTCTGCCTTTTTGAGACGTTGTAAAGCTTGCCTTTTGAAAGCCTGTAAAATAATGAGGTACTTACTACTTATGCAGAAATGAGATGGTTAAACGAACAATGGCGACGAATGTCATGTTTCAACCGTCCAATCACGAATACGTAAATAGCCGATACTAAACTATATTGCTCATTAGGACTCAGTTTTTTTCATATACAAAGACAATATCTTACTAAGAAATATATTATATGAAACTAAAGTTAGCATAACATTGATTTAGATGTCTTAATTAGTCACACAGCAAAATACATAGCTACAAAATCATATGACTAGATTAAAACTACGTATGATTCTCAAATAAAAAGATCTAAAAAAATATATATATATAAACTTAAAATAATAAATGAATAATACTGTAAACCAGTTTTTTCCAACGTGGCGACAACGCTATTCGATAATTTTAAACAATTATTTGGAATTTCAATTTAAGTTTATCATTATGTTTTGAAAATTTACTTACTGTTTCGTTATCAAAATCCTAGTAATTCTTCCTAAAACCTATCATTACAATTCCTTAATGAACAATTTATTTTTTTAATAATAATATACAAATTGTATGTTACATAGGGGGCATAAGAAATTTAAAAAGGCTAAGGTAAGGGGCACAAAAGGTTGGGTAACACTACTGTAAACTTTTTCCAGGTGCACGGTATGAAACTTGTTTTTGACATACACTAAGAGTCGAGACTTAGCTCTACGTATGACATTGTGTCAAAACGTACTAGATTTGACAGACGGCGTCAGTTTGTCTCGACTCTGACTATTTTAAGACGTAAGTGTATGTTGTAAGTGAGAGGTGCCATATCTGATTTAAATTAATATCCTTGTGACCTTTTATGTTATACCATAAAGCAAAGTCTTATTATAAAGAACAATAGTTATCATTTTTAAACGACTCCAAAAATTAAAACCGAATAAAGTAATAATTAGAGTAGCTGCTCCGTTCGAGGATCTGTCGTGCATAATTATTAGAATTTGCAGCGAGGCTTATTTCATACATTTAATTCTACAGATCCTATTAATACAAGTAATTTAAAAAAAATATTCGATTTTGACGTCTGTTCTTTTTGTACCTTCCAAATAAATTTTTATGTGGTATCAAACTCAATCTGCAGTTACAATTTGGAATCTTTAAACATTAATTTAATTTAATAATTGAAACATTGGTAAGCCGTATAAACTTTACACAGACAATTCTTTATACTACCTTAAATCTAGAAAAATTACCCTAATTTTAATATGATAGGCACTTGCACATTGCTAAGCTAACTACAATTTTATTAATTACGATTATTAATAGCAAGTGAGGCTTCTAAATAACTAAATTACGTTAAAAACATACATACTTATGGGGCATGAGTAAAATAAGGTTTTGCGTCTTAAAGTACATTTTACGCATTTATTTTATTTAATTTTGACATATTTTTAGGACTCGAATTCCGAAACAATCAAACTGACAATAAACGTTTGCTATAAACATAAAATACCTCATTATTAATTGCATCATCTGTCTCTTTTTATCACAGCGTGAACACAATTTGACAGAAAGAGAGGAGAGTAGTTCAGTAAACACTGCAATTAAACTGATATAGTTTGTATACCGGTAATTTATAAAAACAAACGCATATTAAAGCTAGATTAATTAAAAAATTGAATATTAAGTTAATTATTTTTTCGGGTGTCCCTCCATTTGTTATTCGTGAATCTCTACGTTACATATTGGAACCGAGTCCATGAACTTGGAGAATCTTGATGGGGGATGATTGTGTTGATTTTTTATGTCTATAATATGAGAATCCCTTGTCTTGATAAGAGCCCGACATCCTTTGGTATAATGCGTAGAACACACCCATCGTAGAAACTTCTTACACGCAATCTGCTTTGAAAATCTATATTTCCCAAATAGGAGCATTATTCTTCCTTTCTGAGATTTTGTGAAGCAGGCATACTGTGTACCTGAAATGACAAATATAATTAGTATACAAGCTGTGACCCGCCGTTTATTCGGTCAAAGCATAATTTATAGCAAATCCACAATTTCAATATTATTTAATATCTTCGTCGTCGAGCGAACGTCGCAATCTCTAAGGGACTCAGGGCTAACTATATTTCCGATATGTCGAACTCTGCTAATGCGCTGTTTCGTTTCTGAATATCAGCCAAAAAAACACTTTTAATTTTATGACATTTAAATATACTATAGTATTTTAATTATTTTAATATTGTTAAACAAACTCCTCACAATAACAAACACAAAATAATTATCCAATTTGGTCATACATTTTGATTCGCATTATTAAGGAAAAAATGATACAAGTTTCTATATAAAATTCAGCTTATAAATGATTCCTGTGCATTAATATCACAAACCAAAAGACAAATGCTCAGACACATTTTAATAATAAATACCGATGTTTTGTTGGCACATTTATCTGTTTTAATGATTTAAAGCCACCTTCTGTCTCTACCAACACAAAATAATTTATTTCGGGATAAATATTTAAAAAACGGGTAATAACAAAAAATGTGTGCGTGTACTAGGGTACCCACGTAAGAAGTGAAACTTATATAAAACCTTTGTTGTACGCAGAGACATAATTGGTTTGTTTTAAGTTTAGAGGTCCGAAACTATTTCTTTAAACACAGTAAATTTTGATACACTGCCTAGCATACAATTTACAAATTAATTGCTGCAAATTGCGATTAACAAATTTCAAGTCGAAAATGTAATCCATTGTCAAACTTCAAAGTCAAAAACATACTAGGTATATGTCATATTTTAACGCCGATAAAGAAGTTTGACTTCGAAAATGTAATCCGTTGTCAAACTTCAAAGTCAAAAACATGCTATATGTCATATTTTAACGCCGATAAAGAAGTTTGACTTCAAAAAGCAACATGGCGCGTAACGGAAAAATGTGACGCGTAACGCAAAAATGTTATACTAAATTCTTTTCCAACCCCGATAAAGAAGTTTCACTTCAAAAATTAACAAATTTAAGCTGTTAACTGTTAGTTTAATAACGGACGTGTTAAAAGCAAGATAACTGCAATATATTTAACCAATTTAATCAGATTTGACACATAATCATCAATCATTTCGGAAACTGGAATTAATTCATCGGAAATAGGTAAAAACTGTATTTTAAAAATCTTCTCAGCTAAGACAATCCTTGAAGCCTTCAAGTAATTTTTTAGCTAAGCGACTTCCTCTTATGTATACCACAAATCAATGAAATTTTAAAATAAAACAATATATTAAAATTACTATTTAATACAATAGAGAGCTTTTAATACTGTAAATGTACTTATTCTATATTGAGGCAAGAATTCTAGAGATCAAAATATCACAAAGAAGCACCTCATCACCAAAAATACTGAATAATGGCACGTAACGCTTAATACCAAAGTATACATACAGTATTTATATTATTAGTTCCTATATACTGGTAGTATATCCGCTTAAATCCGCTCAAATTGTTGTATCACAAAGAGATATCATTTTAGAAGAAATGGCATACTTTGGATTCGTGTGAATATAAATAAAATGAATTCCTACTAATGAGCAGTAATGTCCAGTGGCTTCAGCGCTGAAGCTGGAGCGGAGGAAGCTGATTACCTACTTGCCTATTAGATTGACAAATGATCATTAAACAGATAGAGAAATCGGTGGCACAGACCTAAAGGTAGCGCCACTGATTTATTTAATTTATAATTCCTACTACAATAAAAGTACGCTAAATGATGCAGTATTTTTTTAATTATCACTCTCATGCAGCGATTAACTTTAACCTGCAATATGAACTGTACTGCACAACAAATAGTTTAAATTATTTATTGCTGGACTTATAACATCATAAAGTAATCGCGGCATCGTAATATTGCATTATCTGTTAATTATATAGATTGTAGAATTTTGTTTAATAAAGCTAAGTATAATATATTATAAATAACAATTTTAAAAATGTAACTAGACCCTCAAGAGGCTGTCCACAATCGAATTTAACGATTTCAATGTTTCGAGAAATGAGTTAATAATTTTCAATGCGTTATTTAAAACTTTAACTCTTTTTAATCATTTTAAACTATTTTGAATATTAATACTCGAGTAATGGCTGTTTACTTATTATTAATTATATATAGTACTAATATCTAAAAAATCATTAATCACGATACACGTGTTACACAAATCGACCTGATTCAGAGCAAAACTTTCAAAAATAAAATTCTTAAGAAAATTATACTTTCAATTGTTTTTTTAAATGCTTGTAGTTAACAGCATATAATTTTTTTTGAAAGGATTACTTTAGAAATCAGGCCGAACTACTCTGCCGTCATACAGTTCTTATTAGCACGGAGGGTAGGTGTCAAAGTTCTGCATCACAACAACTAGACGATAGGTAATAACATCTTGTGCAAAGAATGTTATAAATTTGTTGCGAGCGCAAGTATTACATGGTTAAATATTTATTATGCTTGTAAATATAAAGTTGTACTTAGAATTTTGTTTTTGGAAGACAAAGATTTACATTACATTTAATTGTAAACGGAAAATTCAATACAAAACGACAATTTTAAATATACATATGTTGGTCGTGTTTGTATTCTATTGTTAGACTAAAAATAGGACTTAATCTATATTGGTAACTATATATATATGTTAAGTTTAATATAAATATTTTGTGCTTTAAAAATTGTATAAAGTTATTAGCAAAAGGCGTAAAAAGTATACTTCCGCACATCTTATTCTTCCAAATATAGGCAATATTAATATAAAATAATTTAATTTCTAAAATCTCACACTTCACCTCTCAACTAACCAGCTCTTAAATATAAACTATACATTACATAACACTGGCTTTTGAGCGAGGTTTATAAGTGAATCATACGAAAAATTCCGTCGGTGGATGATTATGGTCATTCCTGGCAAATATAAGTTTGTCCCGTTCAGTATAGGCAGTAGCTTCACAGCCTTGGTGTTTATGTGTGTAGCACGACCAACACCACTTAGATCCAGTATGTAGCACCTTGGTGAAGGTGAAATCGCCTAGTTTCAAGAGACTTTCACCGTCACAAGACCGCATGAAAAGAACTGAAAATTAAAGGTTATTTTAATTTATTTACACATCATGAGAGCATTTCAAGGCTTTTGAAACCGGCTGACCATCGAAGTGTTGTTCAATAAAAGACTCGCGAGGCAGTATAAGTGTCCTTGGGTATCGTATCACATCAGGATTTCTACTCTTCTACATACATATCAAAATTACATTGCTCCTTTTAACGAATTTCACGCGATTATTGTGTTGCGAGTTAAAATTTAAAATTAAGTTTAAATAATTGTAAAATTGATATAAATTAAAACGTTTTAATTCGTCCCTTGATATTGGGTTATAACATAGTAATATTTGTTTTACATCAGTCAGATGTCCATGAACTATTCTCGATAAACCAAAGATTAGGTCCGGTTTTTATTAGTAGACGTTTGACGTATAGCGACATCTAGTGTCGAGTAGTGGAATTATTTATAAAATGACGCGAAGCGAGCAAGAAATAACAATGGAAACTACTTAATTGCATAACATAATAAATATAAATAATACAACATATACATCGCCATTAAAAATGGGAATGCATTTTTAATGTGCAATCATAAAAATGTTTTTGTTTACAAATTAGATCAACCTCTTCTCCGACCTACTGAATATATAAAAAAAAACATAAAACATCGGTCAAGCCGTTACGGAGGTTAGTGTGACATGAGAATTATTAATAATAATACAATTTCATTTTTTTTATAATATAATACCAAGACCATTCCAACAATATATTCCATATTTTTTCAACTCCTTATCAATTTAACTATTAATTTTTTTTTCAAGAAGTGTATAAATTAATAACAGTCTGATAAATTACAGTGTTTATTTTTAATTTGAGATTCCATCTCATCTCTATAATACCAAGTTAAAAAAATTTTTTGAATACAACACACCACAGTTCGTTTGTTTTTACTTAAAAAAATTTGGCGCCATCTATTGGGTAAATCAGTCGTTGCCATTTACAATTATAAGGTAAGTCTTTGTACTCGCCATAATCCTTTGTCAATATAATATAGACTGTTGGTTTTGGGTTAAGTAGAGGTTTCGCTGCTTCTTATTATCTGGAAACTCTGTTTTCATTGGAACAACGAAGTCGCGAAGAAAGTACCGATACTCTTATAAATACAAAATAGGCAGTTTAAAGGAAAAAAATAAATAATATCAAAGCATATCTTTAACTTTGAATAAATAGATATTCGAAGTCACACAAAGAGCAAAATTTAAATAAATGTGTTTGGTTAATTATTATTCATATTATTTGGTTTAATTTTTTATACGAATGTAAATATAGACAATAAGGAAATAAATTAACGTTTTAGATAATTTTATAATGCCTGTAACCCATTTTCTTGTTCAATAAAACACAATTAACTACTGTTTTTTTTTATTTCGTACATATTTAGTCCGATGTATGAAAACTACAAACTATTTATATCCCTTTAGAAATTTATTTCAAATATGTAATGCACAGTAAATAGGAATATTTAACGTGAACTTTTATTTCGATTAAACATAAGAACACAAGTATATGGAATGCAAAGGATGCAAAGTAATTCGATTAGTGATTCCCCTATTATTCTGATTACGAAAATATCTTCGAGACTCAGAAGCGGGACGCACAAAGCCTCTTTTCTGAATCTTATCCAACTTATGTCAAAATCCAATAAGTTTTTGACATAGTCTTACTTAAGTGATCTTAGGGAGCGTTCAAGTATTACGTAACGAATTTTGGAGGGGGGGGGGTCTTTTGTAAAACGGTACGATGCGGGGCGGGGATTGAATTACGCGTTATTGTTAATATTATTGTCGACTTTCCAGTACTTTACACCACATAATGGTAACTTTTAGGTATAGTCACTAGGTGGTCACGAAACTTTTTACTATACTTGGTTACGGTACTGTACTAGGGTACAGAAAAACGTTACGGCGAGTTAAACGCGGGGAGGGGGGGTCAATAATCTCCAAAAATTGCGTAATACTCGAACGCTCCCTTATCCAATATACCGCGATGAGTGATTTCCAAGGTTTAAGATGCAAAAAGTCTTTCAAATACAGAGGCTTATACGGAATCACTCTGCGACCCACTAACGTCAAACGCATTTGTATGATAAAGGACCTTGGTTCACAGGTCACGTGACCATACAAAATCGTTTCCTTCTTTAGTTGACCAAGACATTAATGTGCCAGCGGAGTAAACATACCAATAAAAATCAATCCATTTACGTAGTCAAAAATTCCACTCCGTAATGTTGTATACTCTCTAAACACGCGAATTTGAATCAGTATATTTGATAAACGCCATCCAAAGCTTTTTTAAGTACGGGTGGTTGATGTGTGTGATTTACAGTATAATAAATTACTTTATCGCCAATAACTCGGAACTTTGCTGGACACTTTCCTCGTTTGTATTTTGAACAAAGCCATAGGTTGCCCGGTCCACATTTTCCGGTATTTTTTGAATATGTATATCCATTCATTTTTACTAATTGAAATACTCTTTTCCCTCTTCTCAACGATATATATTCGATATCTGCTGAAACAGAAGGTATGTGATTAGCAATTATTATAGTAATAATAGTATATATATATTACATAATAGACTGTTTTATAAATATGGAAATAAGACAATGCATGTTTAAGGATAGCATAGAACGCAAACTGAAGGAGGAGACTGAAGGAGCTCCAGTGGCTTAGCGAAATCTCCGTCAATGATCACCCACTATGCCCAGTGGCTTGCGAGTGTGCTGCCATTGTTTTCGAATATTAGAAAAATCAGCTGATTAAGCATTACATAATAATAAAAAGTACTAAACCTAGTACTAAGACGGATAATTGAATTACAAACTAAACAATCGGCTATATATAAAAATATCTGATAAATTTGAGCACAGACAATAAATATGCTCAAATCACTGCAGGCGACATAAGCTGTCAGGCACTATAGATTAACTGGCATTTGTTTTAACCATTACACAGTTTAGCGTCACTTGCTGTTTGGATGCCCCGACGACAACTGAATCTGTTAACTTAATTTCGTGTTTAAATTTTAAAAATAATTACATATTATATGCTGTGATTTATTTTGTACCATACTCGATATTTGTTGAGTGAGAGTGGAGGAAAAACATTGCATAGTAACGCTTTACACAACACGAGAAATATAAACATGACAGACACAATAACTAGCTTTATTCTTAAAACTCTCTTAACACAGAATAATACTTGTGTTAGGGCTAGTTGATCTAGTTCTTAGCGTAGGAAATTAAACACTCCAATGATGACTTGATTCACTATAATTCAATTTACGTATAATTCAAACTTGAACAAAGGAATTGCCTGTGCGCATGTGTTACAACCTCTTTTATCAACTAGTTCCCACTCCGACTCGACCTTCCCACTTCGGGCAGTTATTCGAGTCAATTCGTAACAATTCGTAAATAACCGAACGAGTCAAATGAGTAATTATTGCACATGCGCACTTGTAGCAAAACGTGACTAGTTACTGTTACATACGAAAATGAGATATTTCAAAGCTAAGTTAAACATTTAAATACAGCTTTAGTTCGCGTCATTAATAGTATTATAAAAAAAATGTTTTTATAGTTTGTTTGTTTATAAAATAAGTGAGAATTGATAGGACAAGCAAAAATATATGTTTACATATTTTTACAAAATCGTCCATAATATTATGTCAGTATGTCATAAATATATGATAAAGGCAGTTATGACAGCTTGAAAAATTAAAATGACATTAAAACTTAATAAAGAGAAATACATAGTTTGTCAAAGTATCTATCGTTTTATAAAACACCAATCACTAGTTTAGGTTGAGACAGATTCAGAATTAATTCCTGCACATACAATCTCTTCTTCCTTAATTACATTTTATATATTTCCCGTTGGACGCCTTAAACAGTCTAGGCGGATTATGGTTGTGCTGCAATTCATAACAAATCAAGTTTCCAGCTGTATCAAAGCGAAGTTTTGCGACGCAACCTTTCAGTTTCCTAACACAGCTCCAGTATCGGGGATCGCTTGAGACTTGGTAGAATATGTATTTGTTCATCAAAATATTTGGCCTTTTTGCATTTCCAATGCTAATTCTCTCAAAGGTTGGGGCTGAAACTTTTTAAGGAAAAACATAAATTATTCATAATATATTGGTTTTCATAAGTGTCAACGTTTCGTCTAGCCAAAGACGTTGCCATTAAAAACATAACTTGTATAAAAATAGTTCCACGCAGTTCCTCTACCGTAAAAAGTTGTGAGATCTGTGTTATACCAAGCCGTTCATTTTATTCAGTCCCTACTTGAGGGACTTTCTATCTTAAGTTATTACGTAATTAGTTAACCCCGACAACATCTTATAGTGAACATATCAATATTACAAATCTTACATGTTTATAAATAAATACATTGGCTTGGCCATCGCATGGAAACAATGTATCTCACGAGTAATACATTTTATATTCAATTAGATTGTTTAGTGGCCGTATGGATAGTACCGTCACCCCAGATGATGCATTTTGTTCCCTATCCGATCATCCCATTACTCAAACCGCAATGTTAAGAACCACGGAATATACATAAGGTTGGGGGCTTTTGAACAAATACACCAGTGTCTATGCTCAGACCATTTAATTCCACTCAAATACAAAATCTATGATAATTTAACGTGACACACTTTGTACTAGCTGGAACCCTATCCTCGTAAATTTATCATAAAACCATTAAAAATTATTTTGATTATTAATAATTGTTTTAGATAAAAAATATTATAAATCTGTGGCACTACAACCCTTTTAGGTCTCATAATTCTGTATCTGTTTCATGATCAGTTGTCAATCTTCTGGCAAGTAGGTGATCAGCCGTCGACTTTTTGGATCTAAGGCAGGCCGGTTTCCTCACGATGATTTCCTTAAAGAAACCTAAGATGATATGTTGCATGCCAGTGACATGCACACTATGAACATGCCCTTATTTTCTTACTCCCTTTAAATTAGGTGATTAACTAACCATCACATAAGAGGATATTTTTTCAATATACACGTAAAAATAATAAATGTTACGCTATCACAATAAATTTAATATGAGAGCAACAAACGGGACCGGGTTGCATAAGTAACATTCTTATATGCTGCCCTTATTCATAAGAACACCATATTGTACCAACTAAAGTTGTGTTGTCTCCTTCTAGAGTAAGATCCCAGAGCGATAAGACACAACTTATTTTCTAAAGCATAGAACTTTCGGTTCTAAGTAGTCTCTCGTGTGCTTTTTAATACCTGTACGCTTGTGGATTTGGCTCGGTGACACCTGCGCATGTACCAGGTGAGAAAGGTAACTGAAAAGAGTAAATTTAGTTAAATTTTAATGACTGATTTTTATATATAATTTGTAGAATATTATATTATATGTCTGACTGATTAAATATAGCTTTGTAATATTTATTTGAATAACATATATATATAAAAATCAGACATTTAAAAATAAATTAAGTTCATTTATTTTTTGTAGAGCTTTAAAGCGTCCGACAAAAGTTTTGGCCTATGGAAAGCGTCTGACTTTTTTGATATTACTTCAGAGTAATATTCTACAAAATATATATAAAAATCAGTCATTAAAATTTAACTTAAGTTACTCTGATTTTCAGTTACCTTTCTCACCTGGTACATGCGCAGTTGTCACCGAGCCAACTCCACAAGCGTACAGGTATTAAAAAGCACACCAGAGACTACTTAGAACCGAAGGTTCTATGCTTTAGAAAAAAGTTGTGTCTTATCGCTCTGGGATCTTGGACTATTCCGTCAAATTGTATTTCCGCTATGACGAAACGAGACAAATCACTGCTTTTATTAATACAATCTTTAGAACTTAATTTCATTAGGTTACTTCACAATGTATTTAGATGTATTTATCTTCTATTTGCAATTTCATTAAACTTAGGTAGAAATACTTATTAGATTTTGAAATATTTTCCACAAGCCACTTGGCGTAGTTTTGGTGGGGGATGGTTGTGTGCATTGTTTGCAAACAAAATTTCCCCGGTTAGAGTAGAAAGTCTCAAACGAGCTGAACATCGCCGTGATAACCTCATTGAACAGCCCAAATATTTGGTTGTCTTTGATACACGATTATTTGAGAATAAATAATTATTAAATAATGTTACAGTTTTATCCCCAGCTTGTATAACACGATAGTCTGAAAAAGCAACAGAAGAAAGTTAAGAAGCAATATTAGTGTAAACATCTACCGCTATAATGAAATTCCGGATATCCGGAAGACAGACACAAAATTAATTAGAGTTACATACAAATATAAATAATTTGCTAATAAGAGCGAGTAAATATTTTATGCATATACGAAATAATATTAATTCCTATGACTATTACTAATTTTAAAGTTTTGAAACCAAACAAAATTGTTGAAAAACAGATTTAGTGGAAGTAGTTTTATGTAGTATCTAACATAGTCTTAAAAAAATCACATACTGTTTGTTAAATACAACAGGTTACATTATATTCACGCCTATTCTAACAGTCTAATTGCACCGTCATAACTAAAGATATCCCTTTTTATCACAGCGTAAACATAGACATAACATTTATTACTAACAAAACACAAACACAGGAACACACAAAATAACAATAATCAAAAAAATATATAAAATAATGAAAGATAACAATTTTTTATTTTAAAGAGCAAGGTACGTTTTAATTGTGTAATTCGTGCGTGCTGTGGTTGTAATTGGCCCTGGCTCAGCATTATTTTGAGGAGCAAACTGTTCCACAGCGCTGGTCATTCTGCCAGAGACCATAGCAGCTAGTTTGCGCCTCAGTAGAAAAAATAATATTAGTAAAAGGTAGCAGTGTAAGTAATGAAATCTTGTGTAAAAGTCTATAGTAAATAAAAAAAAATTAAAATAAGAATAATTGTTGAAGTAAGAAATAGATAAATAAACAATATGTACTTAACGGAAAGACACGAAAGAGTACTTTAGTTAAAAGAATGCAATTTGATTGATTTATTAATATTATTAAGTAATCTAATTTCGTATTCAAATTATTAAAGTTTTTATAAGTATATTATAATCTAAAAGTTATATTTAATATTAATAGAGGCAAAAAGTTTAAATATTCAATTTATATATTTTTTTTTTTTTAAAATTTAAATATAAAATTTATTAATTTAATATTTATAAAGTTAAATCTCAGTTATCTACATTTCTTAAACATAATTATAAAGTAAAATATTTTATTATTTTAATTTAACGATTAATAATTTTGAAAATTTTGAAAATTTAAAAATAAGAAATATTTTTTTAAGTGGTTTCTTTATATAATTAAAATATCCCTTGAGCTTGAAAACATATCACAGGTCAAAACGGATTCTTAAATATTAAAACCGAAAAAGTGTTTTTATTATAAATTTGTGGTTATCATTAAATTTTTTATAAATATAAAATTCAATGAAAAATTTATCATTAAAAGTTATTGGTTTAAAATTAAAAATATTTTATAAATTCTATAATTTAGCTGAGAGCTAATTGAAATTTATTTTTATATATAATTTTAATTAGGGAAGTTGCAATGGCTTAGTAATTTTTTATTTTTTGTAATAAATTGATTTGATTTGAGACAGTACTTGAATAAGATACCACATATATTTAATTGACTAGTATTTAAAATTCATTTTTTTAAATTAAGAAAATGGCTGTGGTTTCTATAAATAATTAGTAATGAGAGATTTTT